TGACAGGCTCACACACACTCTCCCACTCACTCACCTTGCGTTTTGTATTGATGCCGGAGGACAGCGTGCCAAAAAGTACATTTTTGTGCGCCTCCACTTCAGTGAGCGTCTCCAGTTCGCATTCTGTGAAGTTTTTCTTTTTTCCCGCCTTACTCATTCTTTTGTTTTAGTTTTCTGATCGTGCAGAGAGGGGAATCTTAGGTGCAGGATTCATTTAAATATGATTTGCATATTTAAATAGGAGCGTGGACAGGGAGGGGTCGGGTACTCCAACATGTGCGCTCAATTCCGCGTTGATTGGGATGTACAAAGGAAATGTGCTTGGATTCATGTGTAGGCACAGATTCATACATCTGGATATTTTTATGCGTAAGACGTTTTCTGGATTTAAGCGTACGCCATGTTTCAGTAGGAAATCCACACAAGTCTTTGTACATGAGGCCCCAGGTCCCGATGGCTTCCCTGCTGAGTTCTATAAACACTTTTGGTCCATTTTAGCCCCACTCTTCATCAAAGCAATAATTGAAATAAAACAAAATTCAAGATTTCCAGTACACATGAACACAGCCGTAATCTCACTCCTCCCAAAACCTAATAAAGATCATACCCTGCCGTCAAATTACCTCCCCATCTCCTTAATCAATGTAGACATAAAAATCATCAGTAAAGCTCTCGCTCACAGGATAGAAAAAGTCACTCCTTACATAATTCACCCAGATCAGACTGGCTTCATCAAAGGCAGACAGGCATCCAATAATACACGTACACTGTTCGATTTAATCCATTATTCATCATTACAACAGGAAGATACCATAATAGCCACTTTAGATGCAGAAAAAGCTTTTGACAGGGTTAATTGGAAATTTCTCTTTACCACTTTACAAACATTTGGCTTTGGGGAATTATTTATTAACTGGATCAAGATTCTGTACACTGCACCTTCAGCCACCGTCACCACTAATGGACTAACATCACAAAGCTTTACATTGCACAGGGGGACTAGGCAGGGATGCCCACTCTCTCCCTCTTTATTTACCATTTTCATTGAACCCTTAGCAGCAGCCATCCGTCAGAACCTCCATATCCAAGGAATTCAAACACCCCAAACACAGCATAAGATTAGTTTGTATGCAGATGACATTTTACTTTTTCTTCAAAACCCTCAATCATCTCTGCAAGAAACAATTAAACTCATCGAATCATTCTCCAAGATCTCCGACTACTCTATAAACTGGAATAAATCCTCCGTCCTCCCATTGCAAAACACCAGATGGGATGCGGCAGCCCATATATCACCCATTCCTCTATGCACGGATCACATTACATATTTAGGCATCATTGTTTCCCCCAGGCTGTCAGAGCTGATTGGATTCAATTTCACTCCACTACTAAAAACAATAGATTATGATCTCCACTGTTGGATGAATTTACCACTATCCATTTTGGGCAGAATAGCAATTATTAAAATGACAATACTTCCCAAAATAAATTATCTCTTTTCAATGATTCCAACTCACCTTACTCTCACCTGGTTTAACTCTCTAGACTCAATAATCACTAAATTCTACTGGAAAAATAAAAGGATCAAACTGACTACACTTCACTACACTACACTACACTTCAAAAACCCAAATCACAAGGCGGCTTAGATGCACCACATTTTTACCATTACTCCCTGGCAAATCAACTGCAGTATATATACAAGTGGACACACTCCAATCACTCAGACCTCACCTGGCTAGACATAGAACAAACACTCTGTAAAGACATCCAGATTTCAGATACTCCATTTCTCAGTCAATCGATCAAACACCATTCATGTTTCAGTGCAATAATAATAGCGTCGGCTCTGACAGCCTGGTGGAAATTAAACTAAATCACCAACTCTTCTCTCTCTCCATCCAATTTCACCCCCATTTGGAACAATCCTGACTTCTTGAGCAACAAAAAAACACTCAACTTTCACACATTGGCAGAAAAGGGCATCACACATCTAAAACACATTTTTCGTACTAACACCCTGGTATCATTTCCCCACTTGGTCCAGGAGTACGGCATCAGGAGTAACCAATTTTTGGAATATTTACAACTCAAATCATCTGTTAAATCAAAAATCAATATTAGAACCACTAGTCTATGCCTCCCCCCCGCAATCTCAGAATTAATAAATATCCCCTCCCCAAAAAAACTTCTCTCCAAAATATATAAGATAATATCACAATCTGACAAAACCATATTTCTACCTTCAATAAAATGGGAACAAGACCTCTCCATTACTCCTGATGCCGACTTCTGGACCCAAATCTGTAAAAATATTTATTTCATGACTAAAAATGTTAACCTACAACTCATACAGTATAAGATACTGGATGGGATTCACATCAGAAATATGCTCACACTGCACACAAAACTGTCCTGACACTTACATTCACGCCACCTGGCACTGCACACCCATCAAACACTTTTGGAAAGAAGTCACTGAGTCACTATCCCGCTTCATGGGCTGCCGCATCCCAGTATCTCCCTCACTCTGCCTTCTAGGAGACTTATCAACATTCATCCTGTTGTTAGTTTGCACTTTTTGTTTACAAAGGTCCTAACTGGATTGGAAGTTTTGCCTGTTAAATATCTTAATGTCTGAGCCTAATGTTTAATATATATTGAAGTGCAATTTTGTTTATAGAGACTTTATACTTTAGCCTATTTATTGTTTCAGTTGTGTGTGGTTTTTATTTGAGTTTTTTTTTTCTTATCAGCAACAGGGTCTATTTTATATATTGCTTTTGGTTGTGTGTGTTTTTTATTCAAGTGCATTTTTTGTTTACAAAGGTCCTAACTGGATTGGCAGTTTTGCCTGTTAAATATCTTAATGTCTGAGCCTAATGTTTAATATATATTGAAGTGCAATTTTGTTTACAGAGACTTTATACTTTATTATTGTTTCAGTTGTGTGTGGTTTTTATTCAAGTGCATTTTTTGTTAACAGAGATTGACAGTCCATTTTATTTATTGTTTTTGGTTGTTTTGATTATTTATTTTGGATATTTACAATGTCTTTTTTCATAATACAATTCCAATTTTAAATATTCTTAAGAAATAAAAGTTTATTTATCTTTAAAAGGGTGTACTTGCATTATTATACCATTATTATTATTATATTAGTTGACAAATGGTATCAAAATGGCAATATTATCATTTATCGCAATAATTTCTGGGACAATTTATCGTCCAGCAAAATTTGTTATCGTGACAGGCCTACCCCGGAGATGAACTTCTCAACTCTGCGTGAGTGTTGTCATGTATAAAAAGACCCAAAATGAACACTGGAAGCAGACTACTTCATTACTACAAGCAAATTATTTCAAAAGCATTTCTATAGGTATTATTCTGTCCCAAGCTTTTTGATCCATATACATTGTTGAATGCTATAACCTTGATCACTATAAGCAGTTTCCACAGTATTAACCAGCTCCCATAGCCACATAAAAAAGGATCTCAAATAATTCTTTAAAAAATTCTCATGTCTTTCTGTCACTTCCTGTTAATGATTAAAACTGATACAAATGGTGGTATTTGGAAAAAATGTTTAAGATGAATGAGTATGCAAAGTTAGTATGGCCAAGTGTATGGTCTGGATGTTTCTCTGTAGTGACTTTAGCATGTTTCTGATGAGTACATTTGGCATATTTAACCTGATCTTCATTATTCATCATATGCATGAAATATCACCTGACTATCTTTGTTTGTACTTTAAGTACATGCTACATTTATAACCAATTTAAGCTTCTATACTGCAGCCAACGGAAAGGGAAAAGCATCATTAACCTTTTTTAAAAAAGTGTTGTGGGGAAAAAAAACATTGTGTTCTAAGTAGCCATATTCTGAATTCACGTCAACGCCCGGACTCTGATCAGTTACTGTCAGCTAACGTTAACTCAAGCATCTCTGCTGAACAGAAAAGCATTAACAGCTGTGACCATCCTGTAACGTTATACCAATGGAATTTGACATGTCCTCTTTATACGTTGTAAGGCACACACACTGGTGCTGTAAAACAGCTAACGTTAACTTAGTTAACCATGTAGATAACCAACCCAACTAATCAACCCTATCTAACGTTACGTCACAACAGAGACAGCACGCCATTTAATGGTAACCAGCTTGCTTTTGTCACCCTTGTTCTCTTAATATGGACCATGATTTAAACGATAGCCGAGATAGCTTAGCTATGTGACAAAGCTAACAAGCTAGTCAGCTAGCGTTAGCACGCTAGTAGTAACCAAACACTCGCTGCGACAAATGGGCAATACTGTCAGGTGTTAACGCTGGCTGAGGTATTCCTGGCCTGCGCGTTGTGTAACGTTAAACCTTATCTGCCAGGCGATCTCAGTGTTCACCATACAGATCTAATTCAATAAATTAACCTTATCCCGCCGAGCAAGAGAAAACGCAGCGTTAGGTGCCCGAAGACACCGTATCTGCAGTGGTTGCTAATGTTAGCTAGTAAACTAGCTAGCTAACTGGCTGAGTATCGTTAGTCCACTTACCCAGCGAGGGTATCAGTTGAAAGCGGCCGGTCTCCGTGTATTATCCTCTGTCGCAGAGCTTTTCACAGCTTTGAGGAGAATCGCATCGTTACGAAATTGCTAACCAATCCAAAAAATAAGATGCTTTGTGTATATTTGCATGGTGGTTCCCCTGCTAGCGGTTTCAGGAAGGTGCCATCGGTGGAGCTACGGGGGAACTAGGAACCGTGAAATAATCACTGAAGCAACTGGCGGAGCTTTTTTCCTCCAACTCCCGCCCCGGTGCCTACGTACTAAACATCCATGTACTGACAACAATTACGACGATGCATTATCGTGCGTTTAAACCTTTGTGTTGGTTGAGGACATGCGTTTGCATTCTTCCAGATCAACAGGCACGTGGTATTGCAGGAGCATATCAATAACATTTTTTTAGATGCACAAGACTGGATAACCAACCAAGCAAAGAAGGCAACTGCCCAGGCCCCAGACCCCAGACCCTCAGGGGTCCCAAAGACTCCAGATTTGCCATGTGGCAATTAATTTGTGGTAATTTGCTTAATTAAAATTTTCTTTTAAAGATATTTTTAGGGCATTTTTGCCTTTAATTGACAGGACAGTGAAGTGTGAAGGGGGGGGAGAGAGAGAGGGAGAGGCATGCAGCAGAGGGCCACAGGCTGGACTCGAACCCGGTCCACTGCGGCAACAGCCTTGTACATGGGGCGCCTGCTCTACCACTAAGCCACTGACGCCCCATTTGCTTAATTGAATTGATTGTGATTACTGTATGCACCACTAAATGGCACAGTAACCTGGTCTGATGGGGGCCCCAAGACAAACCTGCATTATCACCTGACTGTTAGACCCCATGTTGCCCTGAATGAAAATGTTGTTGAGAGGCCCTCATTGTTTCAATATTGTGTTTGGATGTACTACACTAAACAGGCTGTTGTGTTTCTTGCGATAGCTGTCCAATAATGTCTGGCCTAATGCAGGATATTGCGCCTTGAACAACTTGCCCTGTGCAGTAGCCATGTACAAAAAGTTGTCGCCAAATTACTCTGAGAACTTTTTTTTTTTTTAACAATTTTACATATATACAAGATAGACATACAAAGAAAGAGAAACAAAACAAAGCACGACAGCCACTGAAACAGTAATAACAGTAGTAATGGGAACTGTTAAGGAGTCATTTTTTAAGTTAAGTTAAGTAAGAATCTCGGGGTGGCTTTTGATAGCCAATTCAAATTTGACAAACAGATCAGTGCTGTTGTCAAAACTAGCTTTTTCCAGCTACATCTTCTAGCCAAAACCAAGCCCTATTTCTCAGCTGCAGACTTTGAAAGGGTGATCCATGCCTTCATAACCACCAGATTAGACTACTGTAACTCCCTTTATGTTGGTCTGAATCAGTCCTCCCTCAACTGTCTACAGCTCGTCCAGAACGCTGCTGCTCGCCTCCTCACAGGAAAGAAAAAGCGCGACCACATCACGCCAGTTTTAGCCTCCCTCCACTGGCTCCCGGTCCATTTTCATATTGAGTTTAAACTTCTTTTAATTGTTTTTAAAGCCCTCAATGGTCTGGCCCCTCTGTACCTCTCTGAGCTCCTTTTGCGCCACACCCCAACCAGAACCTTAAGGTCTTCGGACCAACTACTGTTGGTGGTGCCAAAAACCAAACTAAAGTCTCGAGGTGACAGAGCCTTTGCAGCGGCTGCCCCCAGGCTCTGGAACAGCCTCCCCCTTCACATTTGATCTTCCCAGTCCCTAGAGACTTTTAACTCCTCCCTAAAAACCTTTCTCTTCCACCTGGCGTATCATTCAGCCTGAGCACGATGATCTCAAGTTTTGTTTTGGTTTATTTTTTTTTTAAATTGCTATTTCAATGTCTGCACTGTTTGCTCTGTTTTCTTATCGTTGTTTTCTACATCTATTCTATTTTATTATTGATGTTGTTTTAACTCTGTACCCACCTATGTGCAGCACTTTGGTCCACTGCCGTCGTTTTAAATGTGCTCTAGAAATAAATCCTGATTTGACTTGACTTGAAGTTTAGTATTTTCCAATCTTGATTTTGAAAGATTCTCTTAGTATGTGTTGTGCTCTCGCCTGCTGACACATTAAAAATTCTCATCAGTGTATGTATCCTGGTATGCGACTGCCGACCTGGTCCTAGACCTCACAGCACGTTACTGGTGTTAGATACATGTCAAACTGGATCACAATGACAGACTATGAGTTTGATTTGATTTTGGTTAAGAACTTGTCTCCACACAGCAGATTATTAGTTTGTGGTTATTTTGTGGTAAAACACATATTTTTTTATCTCTGTCGCCCCAGCAAACAGCATCAGGAAGTATCGCATTTGTTCTTAGGACATCAGCAGCATTCAGAGGAAACATATTAATATACTCTGAATAGTCTCAACTGTCTTTTTTTTGTGGTCTTTTTATATTTTTGAGGTGACCATCAAGCCTCACTTTTTGTCACTGTTTTCCTTTCAAAGGTTGCCAGTCGGCCAAAAGGAGTTAGACGATACTCCACTTAAGTCGAGTGTTAGGGTAATTTTATTTGACATTCATCTGAAATAACATCAAGAAGCCTTTTGCTGATCCCTATCTGAGATTGGGCAAACCACCACCAGCTATCACTGACAAAAGCTGTCAGGTTTTCTCACCCTTGGTACTCTAGTGCATGGTGAATCATTGCCTTCAGAAGTGCCTGGGAGCGTCACCAGAGGCCGGGCCCCCTTATGATCACCATGCCAGTGTGGACAACACAGTGCACAACCTGGAAGTCAGCCTGGCCCCCTCTCTGCAACACCACTTCAAATCAGTAGGCTGATTTAGCTAAATAAGTCAGCCAAAACCCTTCTTTCATGTGATCAGAGGTGACATTGAATAAAACTAATTAATTAATAACCTTAGAACAGATGATTTTTCTCACATTCCGCATATTACGTGTGCAAAACGCATTTTATAACTTTTTCACATCACTGTCACTTATTAGAGTTCATATATCACAATTCATCATCATCCATTATCTGTCTGTTCTTATGATTTTTGTTATTACATGCATTTGATTATTTTTTTTTTATCATGTAATTCTTGAGTCTAAATGGACATTCTTGCTACATTTGAAGCAATGCCCTCAAGGTGTTCCTGCAATTTGATGTTCATGAGAATGGGACATCCGTACAGATGGACGAACAGCCCCGAAAACATAATGCCTCTTGGGCCGGTGGCATAATAATGGCACACACTGCACAGAGAGTGACAGGTGAGGGGCTAGTAGGGGACCCACAGTTCATTCAGTAGGTAAATTGGCTATGCTCTCAGTATACCGAGTGTCTGGTTTGTTCTTCAGTGTGCCAGTATATGTATTACTCTATATCTAAACCATGGTCTCCCAGTCTGAATTTTGTAATAAGATGTCTTTCTCACTATGTCATCACATACGGCACGTCATGCTAGGAAAATGATCAGTGCCTACAGTTTGCCTGAGGGTGGTGAGACTTTGACAGACCACTACACAATCGTAATGTACAGTACAGGACAGTACAAACTGATGTTACTATACACCATGTGGATGTATTACAGAGCAATATAAAGTCAACAATTTTCTGTACATAAATTTTATTCTGACTTCAGTGACTGAAGCTGAAAACAAAGCAACATACATATAGCAATGCAATGATAAGAAATAACTTAGCAAAAGAATTAGAGACTGATCATCACAACCCAGAGGTCATCTCTTTCACAGTTATAATACCAGAAATTTTGTACACAAAAATACATGCAATGTTCCTTAGAACACAATCTGTTTTTTTTCAGTGGTATATAATTTGAACAGAAACATGATTAAATCTGACATATACAAAAACAATTCAAAGCAATACTTGTTGAAATACTTAATTAAAAAATGTGATATAATCTAATCATGTAAAAATTGCTAGCTACATTGCTAGCTACAGCTAGCTACATTACATTTGGATAAATGATAAAATAATTAATTCTAAAGGTTTGGTCTTTTGCTTATTGAGTCAACACTTCAAAGAGAAATGTTGCTGCATCTGAACTAACAATGGCTGGCTTTTTGGTAAACTCACATGCTGACATGACATATTCAGTATTTATTTGGGAGACAAATAATAGAAAAAAATGCATTTTTAAACCCACTTATCTACCATAATAGCTATGGTTCACTTGAATAACAACAGACAGGTTAACCTGTTTGGATGACTCACTCAAAGATCCATCAGCATTGGCTGTAAAAACATCACATTCACTAAAACAACTGTACAGAGATAAGCTAATGAAAACTGTGGCAGCACCCACTCAGCATTAAACTTATGAGTTTAGTTCAGAACAATGTAAAGCGTCACAGTTCTTCACTTTGATGTTTTGGAGAAAGTGCTTCTTTGCCCCATGATATACTTGCTGTTAATCAACCATTTGTGTGTGAATGATTGCTGTACACATGCGTTCCTTTACAGTGTTATCTAACACAGCGGTTTCCCAACTGGTCCAGATATCTCCATAATCATTAGTTCAAGTCCCACACTGTTTAATATATTCAGTGTCAGACTTGTGTTTGGCCATGTCATCATGCTAGTTTGCTGTCTCTGTTAAGTAGCTGTCTGTTATTCAGTCACTCAACAGCGGGAAACGACACTTCAAAATAAAAGCTTGTGCCGTAAATTCACTGTACTTCAAAAATAAAGTGTGTTTTTTACAAACTTAACATGTTTGATAGTCACTTGCGGTCCATTCAGAATGAACCCGCGACCCACTTTTGGACTGCAACCCACCACTTGGGAACCACTGATCGAACACACACACACTACAATAAGCAAGATGCTAATGGATGCATGACCTTAATGCCAGATACTAGGATATGAAGTAAGGCTACGACAGAAGGCTTTGTAGGGATATGAATAGAGCTTGTTGTCATTGTCTGCCATGATCTTAATACCAACTCTATTGTTATTGCTGAGTGTCTCCATGTTACTTTTGTCTTGTGCAAAATCAGAAGTCGGGGGTGGATGTTGCTACATAACCCAAAACAGCCCATCCTGTCTGTTTATTTTAGCCATAATTAATTCATTTTTGAGACAATGTATATATCGGTGTATATATCAAAATGGAGAATGTACTATGTATCATGTCACACAGCATGCAATGTCATATAGAATAATATCCAGCCCTGCTTCTTGGAAATGCATAATAAAAGCTGATGGGAAAAAAAGAAGCCATTATATCACAAACTTTTGATATCTTCCCCAGAGTCAAATGATAAGATCAAAAAAATATTATTGTCCAGATCACCTGGGTTGGCTGTTTAGCCTAGCTAGAGCACAAAGACTGGAAGCTGTGGGAAACTGCTATCCTTGCTACAGTGTCAGGACTGATCCCAACAAAACACTTTTTCTGAGAGCTTCTTTTAGGAAATAATCTTTTTTATTTTTCAATGATCTGAAGTTCTCAGATGTGAAATGTTTACACACAACCTGCACAAAGTCTTCCAAAATTTCTGATCAAAGGAAACATGATTACAAATCTGACCAGACATTTAATGCCAGCTTTTGGTACTTGACATTTACCTATACTGAATACTAATACTAGAATACTAGAAGTCCTGTCCTCTTAATGGTAACTGGTTGAATTGATAACCAGCTTGTAGCTAACCTGTAAATGAGACAGATCTGGAGTTGCTTGAAAGCACCATTGACAGAGCAATAGGCTCACAGCTTCCCATGCTTCGAGGCTTTGTACAGTAGCTTGACCAACACATCCTGGACATACAGTGCAGTTACAAAGAATGCTGGACAGTGACAGTTCAACTCCAGCATAATAGAACAATGAGCAACAACGAGGAGGTTAAAGTGCTCTTGGTTTTTAACGTAACATGTCACATCCACACTGAGTATAACCATACACGAACTGAAGTCTTAAGGCAAAACCCCCTATTTTGTTCAGTCACTTAAATTTGATATAATGTATACAAAAGGCTTTAGATCAAACACACTTCACCTGATGATGTCTATAAGGGCATGATTTCCAAGCAGAGGAGAGGTGTTGATAAAAATGTTAATACACTCATCTGACTTATCTTCAATAATGATTGGCTGAAAGGATACGTTTAAGTTCACATCCCACATCTGGACTTCAACAGAGCAAATCTCGATCACCTCTCTGATCACTGTCTGGTTTATCTTCTCCTGACTTACAGACACAAACTAGAATCTGCTCAGCCTGTGGTAAAGACTGTGAGGAGAGTTACAGGCCTGCTTTCACTGCACACACACACACACACACACACACACACGTGCACTTTGATGTTGGAATTGGGTGGGGCCTACAATTGTGTCTACAATTTCTGTAAATCAGTGGGTTCTCAAGCTTGTATAACACCCACCCACCTTCCCAAATAAGTGATGAAAAAGAAACATAACATAAAAATGATACTGTAAGTTACCCTTAAAATATTTTTTTAGAGTGACTCGCCAGCTGTGTTGAGGTGAGAAAGGAGCTAGGGTTTGAATGACTCTTTTTAGCTCTCTCGTTTTTTTATTAATTACATAACTATCTCTGTCACTTCTCATGTGAACACTACAAATGTCTTCTGGGATATACTGTCTGAAAATCACTTTTCCTCCTTCCTCTGTCATGACCGGCTTTTCACGCTGCCTATAGACTTAAGATTATAGGCTTTGATAAAGCCTGTAGTTAGGGTTGGCTCAGGCTTGCCTTGGACCAGTTCCTGGTTAGGCTGATACAGGCCTTGTCTGCCAGGGGACCTGCTATGATACATTGTATCTCTCCTTCGTTCACTCCTTCTCTCAGATTCTAAAAGGTTGGTTCTTCTACATTCTCTAACATTCATGTCCTATTACTGCATGTCACTAAGTCAGCTCCTTCTCCCGAGCCTTTGCGCTCCACTTTTTCGCAGGTTCCCCCGAATCGCCTAGATTGTGGGTCGTGGTTGCGCTGCTGCCGTGGTCCTGCCTGATGCCTACTACTACTTCTGTTAATATAAGTCATACTTCTACTATTATACACATATGATTATTATTGTCACATACATATACTACCCTATATTAATACATTCATTTAACATATATATAGAGCCTTTTACTGTTAGTAAACAGTATGACGTTTTTTGGTGGGTGGGGCTTAGCTGGAGGCAAAACAATTCTCCACAGACATTAGCTAGCGCTAGCTAGCAAGTTCTATTGGCTTGTTTTTGACAATAAAGGAAGATGATATGAGTTTCTCTGAAGGAGTGTGTTCGGAAATACTCATTTCGAGTGCCGGAGCGCACTCCGGCTGTCGGAATGTACCGTTCGGTCTCTCAGAGCACCACACTCTAGGAGTAGCAGCGGAGTGAATGAGTGATTAACCATTCATTAAATCATGCAGAAATATAATGCTCCGTTTCTTTAAACAACAGGGCTCTCATTTTAGTGTATAGCATCAGACTGAATTTACGAATGCACCATGTCAGGTCACTCACTCTCCGGGACCACAATTGTTACTTTAATAATCAAACACTGACCAACGGGACCAGACTGGCCGACCCGTATACTCTCACTCAGTGGATGGATGATTTGACAGGATTGCTGGTGGGATGGCCGGCTTTGTGGTTGATCACTATATGCCAATATTATAATGGAAGATGACACTTGAACAGTTTCCTCTGCTCTATTTTGTTTTGCAATCAAAGCTAACATTAGCTAATGTGCTAAAAATCTAATATTCCTCTTAATATCTCCCCAATTTCTGATTAGGTGGACATGATAACCCTTAATACACATAACATTATTCATCCCTATGACAGTAAATACTTTCTCCCTAACCTGATATGAAGTGTGCACTGAACATGCGAGCATTTTTGATGATCATTTCTATCCAGTCCTTTCGTCTTATCACATTTAACCATAATTGTCTTTTTTTTGTTGATGGGCAGTGGCAGCTGGTATTCGATAAAATTTAAGTTACACAACAAGACCACATTTTAAGACTCCTATGTAGCCTACAGCCATGTGGTGGTGAGTTATGTTTTGCCTGCAGCTAGTACCGTGATGTCATTGTATTGTCGACCCTAAAAGGGTCTACAGTACCAAAATACTATGATTATAATATTATTATTAAAAAGAATGTTATTTTAGCTATTGTCATTTGCCATGCATTTCTCTCTCTCTCTCTCTCTCTCTCTCTCTAAATCATCATGTTGTCGTATGGATTATTGCACATTTATTATGTTGATCTGTTCTGTACACACGACGTCTATTGCAAGTCTGACCGTCCTGAAAGAGTTGCTCTTCCTGAGGTTTCTACCATTTTTTTCCAGTTAAAGGTTTTTTTGGGGAGTTTTTCCTTATCCACTGTGAGGGTCCAAGGACAGAGGGATGTCATATGTTGTAGCCCTCTAAGGCAAATTGTGATTTGTGATATTGGGCTTTATAAATAAAATTGAACTGAGTGTGGCCATTGGGCACAGCTATAACCCCTTTTGCCTTTACACATGGTTGGACAAATTGTCGTGAAAACTGGTTCTTCTCTGGCCCAACAACTTTATTCACTTCCAGTGCCCTGGAGAACATTGTTGTAATTATAGATAGGACTGATGGGCAAAACTATATAGGAAAATACAGTCAAATACAAGTTGTAATAAAGCATAATTCTACTTTAAATTCAAGCTAACATTTTGCTTGTGAAGACGGTTTTTAACAGAGTCCCTTATTCCAGTGCTCTTAGCTGGAGATCAGCAGTTCATACTAAGTTTTAAGGTGGCTTCTCATGAACAAGTCTCTCTGAGCAGCAGCTTCCTGCAGCAGGTGGTGAATCAAAGGTAGTCATGGTACCATTTCCCTTTGATGGCCAGCTGTTAAAAAATAAACTCTTTTACAAATAAATACAGTATTTACACACATAATTGTTCAAAGATTGGTGCTTCATTGTAAATTGCTTTAGATTCACTCTCACAGCTGCATAACAATGTTTTCTGCATTATGGACTGTAATTATCAGCTTGTTCAGTACCATTTCCATGGTGTTTGACATATTTTGATTTGTTCTGTAGAAAATATGAATTGTTGCTATTTGTAAACCTTGTTATACACATCAAACACCTTTTACAGGAGGACTACCAACTGAGATAGTGAGGGGTAAACAAGTGAACCAATCCAGGGCTGCCTCTTCAATCAACCTACAGTTCAGGCTCTTAAAGCCAACTTCATGGTTACATTATCTTTTCTGTACAACTAGAAATTCTCATTTTAAAACAAATTCAGTCCAGCTGTATTCACATTCACATTCATTCAGTCCACAGGGCTGAACGTGATGAAAACTCATCGGCTGTTCTTTTGGCTACAGTGCTGCTCATTAATGGTAATAATGAGACCTTCGGGCAGGGTCACGTTTTCATGCTCACAACTCCAGTTCTTTTCTCATAGATCCAAGTTCACAAGTGGATATGTGTGTTGATGTCCTTGCCCTACTCTTCCTCCAGTACGATGCTGAAATGCAGAAAAAAATTGCAATAGCAGTTCCACATGGGTCAATCTCACCAAAGTCTTGAATTGGCTGGATTCTTCCAGAGTTAACATTATGTTAAGTCCCGGTGAAAGAGAAAGCAAGTGTGTTGGTATATGCAGTCCCACATCCAGTATTAAAGAGCTTCTTTTAAAGTACTGGATGCTTCTCGACTCTCCCATTTCAGTGGATACCTTCAAATTCCACTGCATTCCATCACTGAGTCTATACTTCCCAAACAAATGGATTTGGCACAATATGTCCCACTGGGTAAGGTCTGCTCTCATTCAAATGACATGAGGTTTGCTGGTAACTGTTGAAAGAACAGAACAGATATTTAGCACAAGGTTTAGGATCAGATAAAGCTGCTATATAGCTCTGTCAAAAAGTGAAAAATACACCAAGTCACTTGTAGGCCTTACTTAGAGGCTACTCTGTGTCTGTCTGAAGCAGTTTGAATAGATTAACTTGACTGATTTTGAGCAACTTGGGGGCAGTGCAACAAGCTATAAATTCTGATCTGATTTGAATTTATACCTTTATCTGATATGGCCTCATTTTTTAATCTTCTGATATTTACCTTTTGCTTTATTTTTCAATCTTTTAATTTCTCTATTTGATTTCTATTTGACTCTGTATAACAGAGTTTAGTTGTTTTTTTGACTTTTAGTTAAATAAAGAGAGTCAGGCTATTCACACAAATTTTTTTCATGTTTTCCTATAAAAAGCAATGCACCCAAATTCGTACATATCCCACATATTTTAAAAGGCTGCAATCACGAGACCAATGCACTGACGGTGGTAAACAAAGAAGCAGTCCCAAGCAGGTGTAAGGAGGCACGTCAGGATGTTTGTGGTCACAAAAAAATGGACTTTTGCCCAGGACTTTCCCCTGGAATCACATGATCGGATGCGTGTGAACTTTGACCTATTTCAAGGTATGTCCTCACCATGTTTCTTTTCTTAAACCTAACCTCAGTAATTTCTCTTGCCTAAATCTAACTTCTGTAACTTTATCTTAATTACGTAAATGTATATTAAGGACATAACATCATTCGTCAGATATACAAATGGTTCTGTGAGAAGAAGTTGAGAGAGTAATTTTTTTTACTCTTTACTCTTTTTAACTGAAAGGGAAGAGTCTTTTTTGATTTTTCACTGCCTGCTGACAGTCTTGGTCCTTCTCACTGCCTTAAGGTAAATGCCTGTGCCTGGTCAAGTGGCCCATTCTTGGTCTGAGACCAAAATAGTGGGGGCAACCAACTGCTGGTACCTCATGTCCACCCCTCTGCAACCTGCACCCCCAGCTAAAGTTTTTTTGTCTCAGAGACAGAAAGTGATAGGTACATCAGGGAAGTCTCAATCTTTTGGTTAACTGCCTGCCAAAGGTTTAGATAAGTGAGGGACGTTTAGTTCCAGTGCTGCTTACACTTAGTTGTAAGCAGGTGCTGCTTACACTTAGTTGTAAGAGGCTATCAGGGAATGGATGAATGCTGAGGCAATACAGTAAAGGAGAATGCCTGACCTGTGTGGACTTGCCCTTGAATTTTTTTATATTTGCAAGAGATTACAAAAGAAAAAAAAAAAATTAACATTTTTTTATGGAACAGATAGTTGATTGTTCTTTTGTCTTTTTTTTTTACCAGGGAAAACACCCAGACAAACTCATAGCTTAAGATGTATATTAAGATACAAAATTTTAAGCCATCACATGGCCTTTGCTTCAGCCAAACCCCGCAAGAAAGGATGACTAGACTGCAACTGTCAACTAAAAAAGTGTATGGAGAAATAGACCTTTACCTCGAGACTACGATCCGATGTAAAATAGCGGTAAAAATGGACAACATATATATGCCTATAAAATGTAACGGATGGTTACGGAAGGTAACCGTGGTTCTATGAATAAACATCAACACGCCATCGTATGGGTCCCTTTCTCCGAGGGTGAGCTGTTTCAGGAGACAATGTAGCAAATTAATCACATTAACACCTCCGCCCTGCGGGCACAATCAGAGCCTATATATACAGTTGTGCGATTGCCTGTTCAGTCTCTTTTCTCCGACTGAGGCCGAACCAGCCTTCTGAATGACACTGCAAGGGTGTGTTGACCTTTATTCATAGAACCACGGTTACATTCCGTAACCATCCGTTCTAGTTCATATCAGGTCAACACGCCACCGTATGGGTCAACAGTATACCAAATAAGGTCAGGCAGGAGGTGCAGTGAGGCAAAAAACACTCAGAACAACAGTTTGGTTTAGAACATAGTTCATTGAGGAAAGCCTCAGGTTGTGATAAAACAGTCAAAGGCCGATGAAGGCCACCTGTTGTGAAATAAAACATTTTCAACTGAGAAGGAAAAGGTCCCCATAAACAGAACCTCCTTAATCAATGAAACACAACCACCGGGTGAATAACAACTCTGACGCCATGGTCCAGCATGGCAGGGACCACACAATTCACTAGTCTGAAGCCACAGTCCAGCATGGCAGGGACCGCACAGTTCACGGGCCTGCTCCCAGAATGGCAGAGGCCATTGATGAAGCAAAATTTAGTCTGTAAAACCTTGCGAAGGTCCCAGACGAGGCCCAACCGGCCGCCACACAAATGTCCTCCAGAGGAAGCCCCCTTGAAGAGCGCACAAGAGGCAGCCATCCCTCTGGTGGAGGGACTTCAGCACCATCATAGGCCAGAGCTACGGCCTCAATGACCCAGTGCTGCTTGGACAGAGCTTAGCGCAGCTTAGCTTCCCCATAGCACACAAAGAGCTAATTGGTCTGTCTAACGGGGTGTGTGCAGTCAATGTACACCCTCAGGGACCGGACCGGACAGACCAAGTGCAACTGGACTGCCTCCGCAGATTCATGTGGAGGAGGATGGAAGGGCTCCAGAACCAAGGGCCTCAACACAAAAGAGCGAGGGATCACCTTCGGTAAAAAAGCTGGATTAGGCAGGAGAGAGATGGCAGATCCCTCTCCTCCTAATCTCAGACAAGACGGATGCACAGACAGGGCATGCAGTTCAGAGACCCGCTTTGCTGAGGCCATGGTAAGTCCATGGCTGTTTTGAGGGAAAGAAGCTCCAGCCCCACATTGGCCAAAGGCTCAAAAGAAGGCTCTGACAGATCCCGCAGCATCAACTGCAAATCCCATGATGGGACCATGTGGGACCTTGGTGGCCGTATACGCCTAGCCCCCTTCAAAAACTGGCTAACAAGGGGTTGTGAGCCCACTGTCCTACCCTCAATAGGGATGTGACGGTCAGATATGGCCGCCACATTGCCCCTCAAGGTGGATTCTGTCAGCCCTTTCTCCAACAGTGTCTGTAAAAATAAAAGGACCCCCCGTGTCCCACAGGAGACCGGGTTCCAGCCCTTTCCTGCACACCACTGGCAAAACCGTTTCCATCTACCAGCGTAAAGCACCCTGGTAGAGGGAGCTCTGGCTGCCTGCAGGGTAGCCATAACAGCAGACCTGTAAATCCCTGGGTTCTGGTGCCGGAGCTGCCCTTGAGCCTGCGACAGCATGTCCGGCCTGACTGGGAGACACCATGGGGTTCCTGCCAGCAGCCTCTGCAAGATCACCATCCATGGCTGATGTGGCCAATCTGGGGCCATAATTCCCACCTTGGCCAGAATGGCTGGTATGAGGGGAAAGGGAGGAAATGCATACAGCAGGCCCTGGGGCCACCGGCCTGCAAGAGCGTCCACCCCCAATGTTTCCATCTGCCCCGCTATGGAGTACCACAGCGGGCAGTGGGTGGTCTCCGGTGAGGCACACAGGTCTACCTGGGCCTCTCCGAATCGAGACCAAATGGCTTCCACAATCTGTGGGTGAAGTTGCCACTCCCCTGGCCTGGGGCCACTCCTGGACAGGAGATCTGCTGCTACGTTCATCTTCCCCGGTTAGTGGATGGCTTTCAGGGACACACCCTGAGCATGAGCCCAGAGGAGGAGTTTGTGTGCCAGGTCGTGCAGGGACCATGACCGTAGACCTCCCTGGTGGTTGATGTAGGCAACCACGGTTGAATTGTCGGTCCGAACCAACACGTGCTTCCTCCAAAACACAGGACGGAAATACACCAAGGCCCGATACACTGCCTCCAGTTCGAGCAGGTTGATGTGAGCCCCCCTCCAAAAGGGACCCCACCGGCCCCAGGCTTCTGAGGCGTCCGTAGTTACGGTCGCCTTTGAGCACACCGGGCCCAGTGGAACTCCTTCCCTCAGGCCCAGGGCCGTGGTCCACCATGCAATTGCTGGGAGGCAAATCATAGACACAGGCCTAGCCCTCAGGCCATCCTCATGGGGGCTCACCTTGTGCCTGGCAAGCCAACGCTGCAGCGGCCGCATATGAAGCAACCCCAGGGGCACCACCTGGGATGCTGCCGCCATGAGGCCCAACAGCCTCTGGCCATGCTACACTGTTATGTGCTCGCCCACAGTTAAATGTGACAAGCTGTCCATCAGCACCACTGTCAGGACAGCTCTCATTGAGGTTGAATCTAGAACCAAACCCCGATATTCCACTGTTCTGGATGGAACAAGGCAACTCTTCTCCCTGTTCAAGGCCAGCCCCAGGTCCTCGAGGTGTTTCAACACCGTCAAGGTGTCGAGCCGGGCCTGTTGTTCTGTTGGGGAGCAAACCAACCAATCGTCCAGGTAATTCAAGATATGAATACCCTGGCGACGGAGAGGGGCCTGCGCCGCCTCCATGCACTTTGTGAAGGTGCGAGGGGACAAGGACAGGCCAAACGGGAGGACGGTGTACTCGTATGCGTTGCCTTGAAAGAAGAAACGGAGGTACTTCCTGTGGTCTCTGTGTACAGGAATGTGGAAGTATGCGTCTCACAGATCCACTGTAGTGAACCAGTCCCCGTGCCTTATAGATGACAGAAGGCATGACAGACGGAGCATATGGAAGGGCAGGCATTTCAGAAAGCCGTTGAACCCCTTTAGGTTCAAGATAGGACGGAGGCCTCAGTCCTTCTTTGAATAAAACCCTTGGCGCATCTCGCCACGGGTGTTATTGCCTCTTTCTTCAGAAGGGCCAAGACCTCTGCCACAAGGGACTGACAATCTGTCATGTCGCTTAGGAGGGTAGGAATGATTCCGGAAAACTGTGGTGGTCTGGTTCGGAGCTGGAGTCTGATAACCGTCAGCGATGGAAACGGCTGCCAGCCGACTGGGGTCTGGTGCCCCCGAGATGGATGGTCCCACTGCGGTCATTGCGAAAGGAACACTGGCAAGCCTGGCCACCCCTGAGGCCGTAGAGATGGCCGGAAAGGACCCACGACCCCAGCGCAAACATGAGGCTG